TGGGCATGTGCCCTGACCGGGAATTGAACCGGCAACCTCTTGGTGCAGGGTCGATGCTCAGCCACTGAGCCACACTGGCCGGGCAGTTTTTGGTCACTTTTAAAACAGGTTAGACTAGGTCAGTGGTTACGAAGTGGGTACCAAGGACTGTTCGTGAGCTTCGTGTGGAAGTGGGACCCCTGCGGTCCAGAGGAGGGAGGGAGGCTGCGTTAGGCGAGCCCAGGCTCCGCGGCTGCCGGACCCCAAGCTCCGAAGGGCCCGAGCCCCTTAGCCACGGCACCTTTTTTCCCCAGAGCATCCTTTGGGTTCTGAGTTTGGTAAATGATGGGCTGCCTCTCAGACCCTTCGTGCCCTCCCTGATGAGTGTCCCCTGTCAGCTGCTACCAGGAGCCACCCCAAGCCTGAGTGAGGTGCTCCCCTGCTCCTGGGCACTGCCGCCAGCTGATCCCAGCCAGGAGTCTGCAGGGCCCGGGGGCCTAGGGGCAGTGTGGCAGGTGGGAAGCTGGGGCCTCAGGGTGGGCATCCAGAAGGTGCAGCAGCTCTGACACCCTGGCTTCACCTGTCCTGCACAGTCGTACTGCCTGAAGGTGAAGGAGATGGACGACGAGGAGTACAGCTGCATTGTGAGTGTCACGGGTGACGGGACACAGCCCTGGGGTCAGAAAGGCTCCAGGGCCTGCCAGGGACACAGGTGGGTCAGGCCAACCCAGAGAGGCCTGGGGGGCTTGGCCGGGCTCTTACTCCTGGAGATTGGGGCCATGCCCCGCTCTCCTGGCCCCTCTGGCTAGCTTGCTGTGGGACAGCCCCTGTGCCCATTCCCGGAACAGCTGCCCTCCAACTTTGTGAGGTTCTTGCAGGGAAAAGCTGACTTTCCTTACTCCTAAGAGGCCTTATTTATTTATTTATTTATTTTTCTTTCCTTTTTTTTTTTTTTCTTTTTTATCCTCACCCAAGGATATTTTTCCACTTTTTGTTCAGATAGAGTGGGAGGGAGAGAGAGGAAGGGAGAAAGAGAGAGAAACATCGACGTGAAGGGACACATCGAGTGGCTGCCACCCGCACGACCAACCAGGGCCGGGGACAAACTGCAACCGAAGTACGTGCCCTTAGCGGGAACCGAACCCGGGTCTCTCCGGACCGCAGGCCGACGCTGTAACCGCTGAGCCAAACTGGCCAGGGCTCTTTCTTTTTTTTATTGATTTGAGAGAGAGAGGAAGGGAGAGGAAGAGAGAGATGGCAACATCGATGAGAGAGAACATTGATTGGCCGCCTCCTGCATGCCCCCCACTGGGGATTTGGTCCACAACCTGGGCATGTGTCCTGACCGGGAATCGAACCGGCAACCTCTTGGTGCATGGGTCGATGCTCAACCACTGAGCCACACCGGCCGGACCTTTTTTATCTTTTTAATTTGTAGTATTTTTAATACTAGGATCCATCTTATGAGTAACTGTTCATTTATTTAATGTGGCAGTGATTTGTTTTTTTTGTTTTTTTCACAAAACAATAACCCCTAGCACTGCCTGGCATCTCAGAGATGGGGAACCCTGGTAGCTTTGAAAAGTGCCTTCCGGCCCCCACCCCACCTGTCCCCGAGCAGACCCCTGCCCCACTCGCCCTGACATGCTCCTTCCTGCCCAAGGCCCTCGGGGAGCCCCTGTACCGCGTGAGCACAGGCAACTACGAGTACCGCCTGGTTCTGCGCTGCCGCCAGGAGGCCCGCGCCCGCTTCTCCCAGATGCGCAAGGACGTGCTGGAGAAGATGGAGCTGCTGGATCAGAAGCACGGTGAGGGGCCCGGGTGGGCGTCGGGCCGGGCCACACCCTGCCTCAGGCCGCCCATATGCCACCCTCCGCGTGGGGGGCGGGTGCCATCAGCCCTTCAGAAAACAGACCCAGAAGGGAGAAGCACTTGCCTGAGGTCCCAGGGCCAGGCCAGGCCCCGCAGTGCTCTGAGTCAGACTCAGGTGGAAACCCTGGCAGGCGCACCACCTCCACGGAGCTGAGGGTGGACTGGCCTCCCTGGGGTGCAGTCCACAGCCCATCCGCCCCGGCAGGTTCTCTGTGCCCTCAGCTGGCAGCCGGAGACCTGGGCAGCCCTTGCCTTGCCCCGTGCTGGGGCTCAAGGGCCCAGGGAGGTGGCTTCTGCGGGCGTGGCGGGTCCTGCACCAGGCAGGCAGCGACGCCCATGTGCCTCCCCTCCGCCCCAGTCCAGGACATCGTGTTCCAGCTGCAGCGCTTCGTGTCCACCATGTCCAAGTACTACAACGACTGCTACGCGGTGCTGCGTGACGCCGACGTCTTCCCCATCGAGGTGGACCTGGCCCACACCACGCTGGCCTACGGCCTCAGTCAGGACGAGTTCACTGACGGGGAGGACGAGGATGAAGACGAGGACACGGCAGCCGGGGAGCCGTCCAGGGATGCACGAGGGGCTGCTGGGCCCCTGGACAAGGGTGGAAGCTGGTGTGGCTCCTGAGTGCGCCAGCCCGCGGGGTGCGGATGGGGTCGGGTGAGCGGGAGGAGAGCATGGGAGCGGGGGCTGGGCCCCGCATAAAGGCCTGCCGGCTGGGCGCCTGCCTCCCTGCTCCTCTGTCCTAGCTCGGCGAACCGGCCTCGGCCAGGAGGGGCACCAGGGCTGACCTTCCTTCCCACCTCCCAGCCAGGAGAGCTTGGTCTCGGCCTGCCCGAGGAAGGAGAGGGCAGGGAGGAAGAGGGGTTGGAGGGGCAGGAGTCCAGGACCCATTCCTCCGCACCTCCGTTGAGTGGGGGGCCAGGGGTGCGCAGCCGAGGCTGGGGCCACTGTCTCACATGCACCCTGGCCTCCCCCCAGGCTGGCCCACCCCAGTTCACACGCACACCTCGGCGGCCTTTATTTATTTTCGTCCCCTAGCTCAGCCACCTTCCTGGGGGAGGGCTGGGCGCTGGGCTGTACTGAATAAACACGAACCCGATGGAGCCGGGCTCTGCAGTGGCCTCGGACCTGCTTCTCCTTTTGACTCCGCTCTTCTGCCTCCCTGATCAGAGGCCGGGTGGGCAGGAGGGTTACTGACGTTCTGCTCGTGTGCACCACCGCCCCTCGGCCTCACTGCAGTGCTGCCGGTTAGCACTGTGTCCCCACTCGCAGGCGGGACACAGGCTCCGAAGTGTTTTGCTCAAGGCCACGCTGTGTATAGAGACAGTGGATTTGAACGCAGATCTGTCTGGTCCAAAAGACAACTTGCCTCCCAGGGTTTCTGCTCATCCTGGTCCTTCAGGTCTCCTGGCCATGAACTAACCCTTTATTCACTGGTGGGCAGGACAGACACTGGATCAGGAGGGCCCGAGGCCCCAAACAGGTGCACCCGTCTGCCCTGGCCATACCAGGTGCACCGTTCTGCCAGGGCCGAGGGAGAAGCCTGGAGGGATGCCACCTAGGACCGTGTCTGCAGAGTGGTAGGAGCGGGGTGACCGTGATCCTGCTTCACCTGCACCGTTCCAGTCCCCACCTGTGGTCCCAACGTAATCACTGATAGTGACCCTGTTCACTTCAAAGTGCCCCTGCTGGACAGTGAACTACACAGGAAACCGCACCCCCAAACGGGGTTGTGAGGATTGGGAGTGTGGAGGGAGGGCTGCTGGGCTGTCACCAGGACCACGTGGGTCCCTGAGAGCCATGAGACCACACCACCTTTGGAGGGGAAGCCAGCGTGGAGGCCAGGGGCACAGGCCGGACTGGCAGCCTGGGTCCCCGTCAGCCTGTGTGACCCTGGACTACTCCCTGACTTCCCTGTGCCCCAGTTTTCCTGTCTGAGTGTGGCTACTAACAGCACCTACCTCGGTGGGTTGTCAGGAGGAGTAGATGAGTTACCATTTGTTTTTTGTTTTTTTGGTGGTACGTGCCCCTAGTGGGAACCGAACCTGGGACTCTGGTCTGCAAGCCAACGCTCAACCGCTGAGCCAAACTGGCCAGGGCTGAGTTACCATTTGTAAAGGGCTGAGTACAGGGCCTGGTACAGAGTCTGCTCTTTAGTGTTTGTTAAATAAGATGCAGCCAGTGCTCGTGGCTCAGGGAAGCCGGAGATGCAGGGTGAGTCGGCCAGGCCTCTGCAGGGGCTCCCACACCTGGGGCACAGCCGGCCAGCAGGGAGGGGTCCTGGTGGGATGCGCTTGCCGAGAAGCATGGCTGGGCAGAGTGGGGTCTGTGGTGGGAAGGCTGCTCCCTCCACGGGCCTGGTCACCACACTCACGATTTGGAGGGAAAGGAGCAAAAAAAAAAGGGCTGTCAGGTTTGTGGGAAGAGGGTGAGTACTGAGTCTTCCCCGGCAGGCAGGTTTAGGCCTGGAGCTCCCTGCACTGGATCAAAGTGCAAAAGGTCAAAAGTCAAAATGCAAGTGAGAAGACATCCCCAGGGACTCCCCATGAGGGAAGCAGGTGCCAGGGCAGGTCTCGGAGCCATGCTGGTGTCCACAGGGACGTGTCCAAGGTTAAGGCCCCAGGACACCAGAGTTGACACCCAGAGAGAGGAGACAGCTCGGCTGGGAGAGGGTCTCGGGAAGGTGAGGACGGACACACCTTGCCAAAGGCAGCCGGCGGGTGCTGGACCCCGCTCCAGGACCCAAAGGACGGTTATGTCCTGCTAACCTCTGGTGGTGGAGCGGAGCCCCAGGTTCAGGGCCAGGCTTCAGCCCTGTGCTTGGCTGCTCTTTCAGGTAGTTCTGGGTCCCTCCCGGCAAGTAGCCCCCATGCTCCGCCGTGGGCAGGGCTGGGGCTGGAGGGAGCCCAGGGCCAGGCCCACCCCAGCCCTAGTGCCTCAGCTGGGAACGCCTTCCCCAGCCTTCCCCCCCGCCCCCCTCCCTGTCTCTGCCACGTCCTTCCCTAGCACCTGCCAGGCCAGGGGGCCTAGGAGAGCCTCTCGGTCTCTCCTGCCCTCTCCGCCTCCCCAAGTCGAAGCCAGAGCCACAGGGAGGCGCAGGAACAGAGCCTTTGTCTTTCAGCGCAGCTTTATGAGCGCGAGTTTCTCAGGGCTCAGGCTGTCGGGGCACAGCGCTTCTCTGAGCGGGGACAGAGGAGGGAGAAGCTTCCCACCTGGACCCCAGGGGGGACCACCCCAGCAGCCTCCAGTGGCCAGACCCTCTTGGGGCAGCAGGGGCTCCGCGAGGGGAAGCCCTATGTCTGAAGTCACCAGCCACCCCACCTGTGCCTCCATCACACAGACTCCGGGGCCAGCCCCGGCCCTGGCTCCGGCTCCACCCTGGGTTCCAGGGGCCCGGCCCCAGGGCTAGGCACCTCCAGGGCCTCAAGACTGCCAGGCTCCTGGGTGGGCAGGGGCTCAGAGTCCCCTTGGGCCTCAGCGTCCTCCTCGGTGTCACTGGCCCCGCCCTCGGTGCCTGGGCCAGGTGGGGTGTCCTGAGAGTGGCGCAGGCAACAGTTGGTGGCAACAGCCATGAAGACCCCGGCCAGGACCACCTCAGAGCCGGCCAGGTAGAAGATGATGTCATAGTTCTTCAGTGCGTCCACCAGGTGCCCTGGGGTGGGGAAATGGGGAGGTAAGGACATCAGGGGACCCCACTCTTCACCCCCACCCTGAATCCTCAGATAAAGGGCAGTGCCCTGGATTTAGTGGGCTCTTGGGTAGGACACGCACATGCCCCAGTCCACACCCCCACTTTACAGATGTAAACCCACACAAGCTCTGTCATTTGAGACCTTAAAAATGTTACTTCACTTCCCTGGACCTCAATTTAAGTGACATGGGGCCTTTGGTGGGGCAGCACTTTATAGTTTACAAGGCACCCCTGCACCCTCAGATTCAAACCCCACATGTACCCTGTGAGTAATGCAGCTGGGGATATTTGGGGTGGCCGTGGGGAATGTAGGGGCTCTGGGCTCAGCCCCTCTCCTGGGGGCCCCCAATTCTTGCTCTTTCCACCTAATCTTCAGGGGCCTTTCAGCTCTCTCACGCCCCCACCTCCAGGCCTCCTCTGCCCCTCCGGGAGGCCCCAGGACCCCACACTGAGCTCACTAGCGTGGCTGGGCCAGGGTTTGAGGGTCGGTCGCTCCTATTTCCTTCTCTGCATTTTCCGAGTTTTCTATCAGAGGCACATAGGACTGTCATTCTCAGGAAAATCTTTTAATTACAAATACTTCCCCCTAAAGTGTGGTTCCTCCCTCTCTCGGGGGCATTCTTGTGGCTGTCCGCACCAGGCTGTGACCCCTTGGTCTGCATCTCTGCGATCTTGGATGTACCCCCACTGACCCCTGAGCTGGTTGCCCCCTCCCCCAGCCCCTCTGAGCAGTATTCCACCCAACTCATCTTCCTGGTCCCTCCCCCCACCCCCACCAGCCCTGGTGCCTTCTCTGCCTATTACATCCACCCCAGGGTTACACCAGAAAATGAGCTGGCTCTCTGAACCTGGGGTGGGGGGAGCTGGTGTTGTGACCTTTGGTGGTGAGCTTGGGGGCCTCCTATACACAGGCTCAGGGGCTTTGCAGTTCTACGGGGTCAGGTGAGACAACCAGGCTGGATGAGGGCACTCGGCTAGCTCACCCTCTCAGGTGCAGATGGGCCCCAGCAAAGGGGACCTCGCCCTGCCATTGCTCCATCCTGCAGCTGACCTCAGCTCCCTCCTGCTCACCGCAGGCTTCCCGCTGTCTCAGGGATCACCCAGAACCCAGAAAGACACTAATGCCCCCCCCACCTTTCCAGTCCTAGCTCCTGCCTTACTTGTGTAGGAATACTGTCCCCCAAACATACCCGGTGCCCTCTCCTGTGGGGACTGCCCTGCCTGTGAGGCTGCCTTCATGCTAGCGCCTCAGGAAGCCCTCCTGGACCACCCTCCACAGGATGATTTCCTGACAGGTGATGAGAGTGCCCAGGAGGCAGTGTGCACAGAGGAAGAACTCGCACCTTTCCTTCCCCATGTGAGCACACTGGGCACCCCCACTCTACTCCCCAGAGACACTGCTGCTGGTCCAGTCACTCTTAAAGACTGGGGGACCCAAGCGCTCAGATGATGTGTTTCAAAGGTGTGGACATTGAGCACGGGCAGGGCCCCACTCTGACTCTGGGACTGAAACTTGTAGTAGGCCTCTGTGCCTCAGTCTCTGCACCTGCGAAAGGAGACTAAGCGCGGCGCTTTGTGCCAGCTGCGGCAATGGCCCAGTGAGCCAGCGCTGTCCACGCTGGCCGCTTCCTGGCACTTTTCCTGTCTTTTCTGTCCCCACCCAGGGCTGGTGGTACCGGCCTGGAGGAGGAGCTAGTTGGCCACGTGACGGAGAGTCCCCCCACGAGGCTGTCTCCTTGGAGGGGTCATCCCTGTAAGTCCCATTTCACAGGAAGGGAGCTTCCCCGGGCTCAGGGTAGGGGCTCCCAGCCCTCCTTGGCGGAGCGCACCGGCAGAAGGCGGTCCGATGAGCACCGCCGCGGCCTCCACGAGCAGCACCAGGCCCAGCGCGCTGGGGAAACGGCGCGCGCCCACGGCCGCCATGAGCACCTCGAACTGCAGCGCGCCCACCATGCCGTAGGAGAGGCCGAACGCCACGCAGAAGGCGACCAGGGCGTCGTAGGAGCGCGCGCGCGCGCTGCCCAGGTCCGTGAGCCCGTTGGCCAGCAGAGCCAGGCTGAAGAGGTAGGCGACGTGCGGCCGCAGGCGCGCCAGGCCGGCGAGGGCGCCGCACGCGGGCCGCGCCACGATGTCCACGAAGCCCACGATGGACAGGAGGAAGGCGGCGTCCGCGTCGGGCACGCCCGCGTCCTTGGCATAGTTCACCAACAGGATGGCGGGCACAAAGAGCCCGAGCGCCATCAGGAACTTGGTGACGGCGTACACCGCGAAGGCGCGGTCGGCGCACACCGTCACGTCCAGCAGGCGGCGGGCCCGGGCCCTGGCGGGCGCCTGGCTGCGGCTCAGCCCCTCGCGCTCCGCCACCGCCTCCCCGCGGGCGCCGGCCGCGCGGTCCCTGCGGGGCCGAGGGCCGGGCCCCGGCGGTGGCCGCATGACGGCGCCGCAGGCGCAGCAGTGCAGCAGGAGGCCGCCGAGCAGCAGGAAGCCGCCGCGCCAGCCGAAGCGCTCAAGTAGCTGCTGTCCGAGAGGCGACAGCGCCGACAGGAACACGGGGCTGCCCGCTGCGGCCAGCCCGTTGGCCAGAGGCCGCCGCCGGTCGAAGTACAGCCCCAGCATGATGAGTGACGGCTGGAAGTTGAGGGCCAGGCCCAGGCCTGCGGGCCAGAAGGCGCTGTGCCAGGCTCCCCAGGGGATCCCCACCCCATAGCAGGAGGGAGGGGCGAGGCTCGCAGGGCGGACCAACCCCCGGGGAACTGAGCAGAGGGACTCGGAGAACAGCATCTCGTGGGGACACTGAGGACAGGAGTTCTTGCGCAAGGACTCCCAACACCCCCCCCCACACACACACAGCCGCGCCCTCACCTGTCAGCACCCCAGCCGTCAGGTACAGCTCCAGGAGGCGCGTGGCGAAGGAGGCTAGGACCATGCCCGCCGAGGCCAACAGCCCACCCACCAGCATCACCGGGCGACAGCCAAAACGGGTTACAAGGATGCTGGACACCGGGCCTGTGGGCAGGGCAGAGTTCACCACTGGGCTGGTCCAATCTCCTCTCCGGTGGACACATTCTTTTTTTTTTTAAATCCTTACTCGAGGACATTTTTCGATATTTTGTTCAGATAGAGTGGGAGGGAGAGAGAGAGAAACATCGACGTGAAAGGGACACATCGAGTGGTTGCCACCCACACGACCCAACCAGGGCTGGGGACAAACTGCAACCGAGATACTGCCCTTAGCGGGGAAAGGAACCCGGGTCTCTCTGGACCGCAGGCCGACGCTCTGACCGCGGAGCCAAACCGGCCAGGGCAGACACATTCTTGGCTTTGAATTTCCCAGCCCTGGAAGACGGCTCACAGGGATAAGGTCACCCCTGGTTCAGGGACCCAGAGAAAGCAGTGTCTGGCTAAGGTCACACAGCTTGGCTAGGACAAACCAAGGAGACAGTGCCCTGGAGGGGCTCAGAGGGAGGGCCTGTCCTGGCCCAGAGACCCCCACCCCCACTCCTCTTGAGATCACAGAACCCAAAGCAGAATGGCTGGCGTGGGCTGCCTTGCTCCCCAGGCCCCCCCACTCCTTACCCCCACCCTGCTTGGCGAGGATAACTCCACTACCTCCCCCATTTCCGCTGGTGGTTAGGGCTTGGAGGAGCGGGAATCTCATTTAGATTTCAGCTTCCCCACCTTTAACATAGGCAGGTGCAGGGTTTGCGGCAGGAATAGTGGGGCCCTGCTGCTGGCCAGGGCAGGCACCTGGGTGCCAGCTCCACCTCTGGCCGCTGCCCTCTCCTGTCGTCTCCTCCCCTCTCTCTGGTGACAGCGTTTCCGCAGGACGAGGTTTTAGTGCCCGTCCTGAGGGGCCCCATGGATGCCCGGGGGATCAGGCATTTCCTGGTCCCCAATCCCAATCCCCGTCCTGGGCGGGGGCGCTGACCGGTGCCGTAGAGCATGGCGAGCATGATGGAGGACACCCAGGCCGTGTCGCTGTAGCCCGCCCCGAAGTCGCGCATGAGCGCGCGGAAGAAGACGCTCACGGCCTTGGGGAAGCCGTAGGCGAAACCGGTGACCACGAAGCAAGCGCCCAGCACGGCCCAGCCCCAGCCTCCGTCTGGGGGGTCCGCGCCCCGGCGGGGGGCGTCAGCAGCCATGGCCACTGCCTCTGCTGGAGGAAGAGGAGACAAGAGGGGGCGGCAAGGGTCTAACCCAGACAAGGCAGGCGGATGGAGACCCAGCGTGGGGAAACTGAGGCACAAGCCTACCCACATGAGCCCTGTGCAGGGAACGAAGCCAGAAGGGGAACAGGGAAGAACCTCACCCCCTATTCCTCCTCCTCCAAGGGCAGGTGAGGGACAGGGGAGGGTAACAGTCGTTCCCACCTGAGTCACTTCAGGAAGACAGCGTCTGGAGGGCACGCCGTGCGGGTCAGGACCCAGTGGGCAGGCCAGGGGTCCTGGTGAGCTGCAGAGCCTGGCAGGCAGTGTGTGATGGGGTGTGGGTGGGGCCACCAGTGTCCCCAGTGTGCACGTTTGAGGGTCTCTGGACAAAGCAACAAGCAGGAGGGAGGGAGCAGACAGGCACTAGCAGCAAAATGGGTGGAGTTTCTTTTCCTCCTTGGCCTTGTGGTATGTTCCTGATTTTCCCTCACTGATCAGGAGTGACTACTGTCAGCAGAATAATAGAGGAAGAAACAAGAACACATTGATAACAGAACATAGCCTTGTCTCAGGAGCCAGGGGAGCTGAGTTCCAGTCCATCCCAGCTTAGCGATGGATTTGCTGTGACTCGCACAGATCCCCTCCCCTCACTGAGCCTCAGTTTCCCCACCTGTAAGATGAAAGATCGATCACTCCATGCCAGCAAGGAATCTCAGGGTGGGGGCTGGACCTCTGGCTCTTGCTGGACAGGCGGGGACCTTTGAGGGGGCACCAGCAGAGAGGCCTTCTGCCCTCTAACCCCTAACAGCCCCCCACCCCCACACACGCAGAAGCGAGCTCAGAGGCCTCTCGCACTCCTGAAGCTCAGCCCAGGGATCCACACAGCAGCCGCGTGGCCCCCACACAGAGGAGGGTGACCCTCAGAGGAGGACGGACCAGCCTAGAGCTGGGCAAGAGCCTCCTCCCCTCCCGCACCCCTCCTTGCCGGGGTCTCCCTCCTGGCACTGGCTGAGAGACCTGTGGGTATCAGACTCTGCCCCTTCCTGCCCGATGTCCTCTCACCACGAGATGAGAGGGTGGTGCCTGGCAGCCCTCGCCCCACACTCACCAGCCGTCCTGTGGGTTTGGGTGTCCGGCCTCACATCTGAGGCCTGCAGGGAGGGGCTGCCCCGCCAGCTCTCCCGGGTACCTAGCCCGATAGGGGTGCAGCAAAGACTCCGGGCTTGCAGGTCAGCCACTGGCCTGGCTCTCACCCCAACTCCTGCCCAGGCCTGGAGCTTAGAGCCTTCCCCCACCCCATCCCCTCTAAGAGGCTTTTGCCTGGGAGGGGAGAAGGGACAGGGCAGAGACCAACCCTGAGGCCCCAGACCTGCCCAAGGAGAGCTAGACAGATGAGGAGGTCCTTCCACGTCCTGGAGCCTCGGGGGACACACAGCCCTGCCCTGGGGGTCCTAGTGGTCTGAGGGCACAGCCCTACCCTGGAGAGACCCCACCAAGCCCTAATCACCTGTTCCTCCCTGCCCCTCACCCCCAGGCCACATTCCAGGCAGGGCCCAGCAGCTTTCCCTGGATAAGGCTAATCCAGGGGAGCCTGGGACTGAGGGGACAGGGAGGGCGGAACAAAGGGGGCTGTGTCCCAGGCCACAGGGGGACTGGCTGATGGTCCCAGACCTTGGCCACCGCCACGCCCTCCACTGGCGAGCAAGCTGTTTCCTGAGGGCTGGAGGTGGGGGCAGAGCTGAGGGCTTAGGGCAGTGAGGGAGTCTCCCAGGCAGCTGCCAGCACCCCATTCTCAGTGGGAGGTCTCCGTCCCCAGCCCCGCCCAGTCCCCCAAATTAGAGATCACCACTCCTGCCTCTGTCCACTTGCTTTATTTCTCATTGTTTACAAAAGTTACGGGGGACATGAGCGGAGCGGGGAGGTGTGTGTAAGGGACTCCACCCCACTGGGGTGGAGAAGGGGGAAGGAGGTGGGGGCGTGAGGTAGGCCCCCAGGGAGAGTCCTGGGGCTCCTGGAGGGGAAGAAATGGTTCTGCCCCCTCTGCCTGCTTCGTGTTGAAGGTCCCAGACTCCATGGCAGGGCCCTCGAGCTGCGGAGGCGGGGGGCGCCGTCAGGGGAAGGGCCCCGCTGCCCGTGCCAGGGCCCGCTCCTCAGATCCGCTGCTGCTGCTGCTGCTGCCGCCAGCTCTGGGAGCCCCTGGGCAGGTGGCGAGGCGACCTCGGACCCCTGATGGAGGAAGGCGCCTCAGTGGATGAGGGGCGCCGAGCGGTCATTGGTGACAGTGGGACGCAGCTTTACGGTGGCAAAGGGATTCGTGCCCCTGTGGGGTGAGAGGTCAAGGTCACCTGAGCCAGGTGTCCACCCTGCTTCCTGTCCCCATCGAGTCACCTGCACTCCCCCCCCATCTCCCTCCGCTGAGCCCGGCCCCCTCTGGCCCAGCCCTGCTCCAGCTCACCGAGGGAAGAGCTCTGGGGGGTGTTGCTCCCAGGACATAAGCTTCTGCAGTGGGAAGGGAGGAAGGCCGAGTCTGGGGGGGAAGGAGCAAGGGAGCCCCCGCTCCTCCCTCCCACTTCGAGGAGAGCAGAGGCTGGATCAGGGGCCCCTGCAGTGCCAGGCTGCTGGGAAATGCAGCCCTGGCATTGAGGCCCAGAAGCCCTTGGGTCAGAGTACCATCTCCGGGCTAGTGCCCACCCCAGGGCAAGACTGGGTGCCCCCTGGGGAGGTGTTCCGTGTCCCCTCCCCCCCAGGCTCTGATCCAGGACCCTGGTTTGGTTTCCCAGGGAGGCAGGGAAGACAGGCCTGTTCCAGGGCGCCCAGCAGGGCGTGGGGGCTTAGGCCCTGAGATGGACACTACCCTCCACCCCACAGGCAGAAGCCATCCCACCGCTCCTGCACAGATGGGCAGACTGAGGCCAGGTAGGAGGGTCCCCTGCCAGGCCCAGTGGCAAAGCAGAGGTTACCTGGTCTCCAGTCTCTGCCCACTGGATGACCCCAGGGTTGAGGACCGCTTGGGGGAGGGGCTCACCTTGACGTCACTGGCCACCCCCATGCTGCCCATGCTACTTCTGCGGCTGCCAGGCAAGGGTGTAGGTGCAGGGCTGGGGGCACGGCTTGGGACCCGGCTCGGAGTTCGGGAGCGAGACTGGCCGTCCCAGTACTCGGGGGACGTTGTGGAGTTGCCCGGCCGGTCCAGGAGGTCATCTAGGCTGTGGCTGCCCCGGAGCGGGTAGGACCTGAGGGCAGAGAAAGGAGGGGAGGGGAGGGGGTCAGGCCCCGTCTGCTGGGCCCCTGAGCATCCGACAGCCTCCTCCCCTGCACCTGGGTGAGAGGAGACTGTCGGCTCGAAGGCAGTCCTGAGAGGAGGACGGATGGCCACAATGACCTGCACAGGTGGAGACGGGGCGCCCTCTCTCCGGAGGCTAAAGGGGGCTGGGCCCCTCAGTACTGCAACTCACAGATGCCCCCATGATGGGTGGGGCCGCCCCCCACTGGAGTCCCCACTCCTGCCCCAACTCTGACCACCCAGGTACCTGGAAGACAGGTCATTCATAGGGCTCATGGGGTTCATGGAGGCCACGGGGTTCAAGGCGTTCATGGGGTTCATGGAGGCCACGGGGTTCAAGGCGTTCATGGGGTTCATGGAGGCCACGGGGTTCAAGGCGTTCATGGGGTTCATGGGCACCTCCTCCAATGGCTTCACGTAGGCCTCTGGGAACCAGCCACTCCTGTGGGGTGGAAGCAGAGGGTCCCGTAAGCAAAAGGCCCAGTGACCGTGGTCCAACCCCGCTTGAGAGGAGCACACAACCACTGGGCGCTGCGGGCGCCGGCCTCGCCGCAGGGGCTGTCGGGAGAGAGACTCATTCCGTCCCTCGAAGGAGGCCTTCCTCAGCATTCAAGGCCATCAGTCCAGCCTCATGTCCCACCAAGGCTAGGGCACCTCAAGAGGAACTGCAGGTCCGAGAAGGAAGGCAGTGTGTCCAAGGACATAAGGTTACCACTTCATTCCCTGCTCACTGAGCACCCACTGCGTGAGGGCCCCGGCCAGGCACAGCCTGCTCCCCAGAGGCTCCTAGCCGGGCAGGGAGACGGACGGCGAACAGGTGATGACAAGGGTGATGGCAAAGGTCAGATCTTTAAAGTACAGCACGGGGATATAGTCAGTAACACTGTCATAACTATAGTCAGTAACACTGTCAGATGGGCACTAGATTTATCAGGGTGGTCACCGTAAGTTATATAAATGTCTAATCATCAGTTTATACATTTGAAACTAATATAATATTGTATGTCAACTATAATTGAAAAATGAAAAAAAAAATATTTTTTTTATCCTCACCCGAGGACATTTTTTCATTTTTTTGTTCAGATAGAGTGGGAGGGAGAGAGAGGAACATTGACGTGAAAGGGACACATTGAGTGGTTGCTACTCGCACAACCCAACCGGGGCCGGGGACAAACTGCAACCGAGGTTCGTGCCCTTAGCGGGAACTGAACCCAGGACTCTCCGGTCCACGGGCTCACACTCTAACTGCTGAGCCAAACCAGCCAGGGCTCCTTGGCCTTTTAAGACTCCACAGAGCTTTGGCTGGTTTGGCTCAGCGGTTAGAGCGTTGGCCTGCGGTCCAGAGAGACCTGGGTTCGGTTCCCGCTAAGGGCACGTACCTCGGTTGCAGTTTGTCCCCGGCCCTGGTTGGGTTGTGCAGGTGGCGGCCACTCGATGTGTCCCTTTCACATCGATGTTTCTTTCTCTCTTTCTTCTTCTTTCTCCCTCCCACTCTATCTGAACAAAAAATGGAAAAATGTCTTGGAAAAATGTCCTCGGGTGAGGATAAAAAAAAAAAATAAGACTCCACAGAACCCCTCAGATTCTTGTGGAACAACCGAGATAATGGTCTCCAAAAAGCCGCCTTAGACTCCAAAACCCATCCAACGACCTTCTCACATAAAGGCAACTGGAAGCTGTTTTGGCTCCAACGGACAGAACACAACCACTGCAGTTCATCTTGTTTTCCCATGAAGTACCTACTCATGGTAAAACTAGCTGTCATTTTCCGAACCTATGAGTCACAAAAAGAATAACCATGTCCCAGGAACGTGGTTCCAGAGCATAGGTCTAGGTTTTATTTGTCCTCGGGGCGCCAGGAAGTTTGGCACACACCTGCTGCAGGGACTGTCAGAGTGGCGCCCTGCTGCCCCGATGTGGGTTTGCAGAGCAGGGCTTCTGCCACTCGTGTGCTGAGTCACCTGTCTACCCACCAGCCGTCCTTCCATTCCTGATGCAGGAGTCATCTGCCATCCATCATCTGTCCACACACCTCTGTCCCTAACTGCATCATTCTGTCCTTGTCACCCATGTGTCTGTCCACTCACCTACCCATGATCCACGTGGGCAACCACCCATGGGCTACTGATCCACTGTGATTCCACTAATCCATCCAGCACCATTTTCCCACCTGCTTGCCCCCACCTATCAACCCACTCACACACCTCTCCAATCACCCATCAGCCTACGCATGCACCCCACATCTGTACTTCCTCCCCTGCCCCAACCACCCATTTGGTCCCCACCTATCCACTGTCTACCCATCCGTTCACACAAGCACGCACCCACCTACCCCGAGGACCACCCCCTCATCCACCCTCCGCCAACCCACGCGCCATCCCCACTGGTCTCCATCTGTGCAGTCATTCATTCATTCATGCCCCTGTTTTGTCCTCCTTCATTCCCTCTTCATTAGCATGAGTGGGAGTGGGCACCCCAAACGTCTCCTGTCCATAAAGTCCTGTGTGGGGCACTGCCTGGCTCCAACACGCTCCCATCTTCGTCTTCATCCAGCAGAGAGTGATCCCTACACACTCCCTTGCTGGCCACCAACCCCTGCTCTCCCCCGGCTTGCTGGCGACCACAATGCAGTTCCCATTGCCCCTTCCACGCGCGGTGTTAGAAACGGCCCGGGTGTAGGTTCTCTAAGGGCTTCCACTGCGCATGACTGCAAGGAGAGCAGGCTAGCCTGCAGGTGCCAGCACCGCCCGTGCGCCCGCCCGTGTGCCCGGAGGCCGCCTTCCCCTCCACCCCTCCACCCCTCCACCCCTCCACCCCCCCACGCCCCTAGCCCCCCACGCCCCCACTCCCCCACCCCCCCCACCCCTCCACCCCTCCACCCCTCCACCCGAGCTGGGGAAGCTGCCCCTGCCTCCCAGTGTCAGGTGCACAGTAGGTGCTCCTGTAATAATGTTTCTGGAATGTTCCACGCTTGTGAGAGAGCCTTCCCATTCCCCATCCTCTACCACCCTCAGGGGCCACCACCCTGACGTGGCAGGGAGGCTCGTCCACCTCACTGAGTGGGTGAGGAAGGCGGGGTGGGAGTGGGGGGGATGGGAGAGGGGCAGTTGTCGGAGGCCTCAGGGCAGTCAGAAGAAGCCTCCACCCCGCCGTCGGGAAGTCTCCGTGGGAGCCAGAGTTCAGGCCTCCCGGGTCCTCCTTCCAGCCACCCTGCGCGTCCAGGCTCCCACTCACGTGGATGAACCCTCCAGCTTGCCATAGAGCCAGCCGTTCTGCGCCTCCGGCACCAGCACCTCCACGACGTCTCCGGCCGAGAAGCGCAGCAGCGTGTGGTTGGCGCCCTCCGAGTGCGAGACGAGGGCGCGGACTCTCCGGGCGCCCCCGCCGCCGCCCGCAGCGCCCGGGCGCTCGCCGAAGGAGTTGGAGCGCGAGCGCTGGGCGCCGCCGGTGTAGAGCGAGGCTGCGGGCGGGACCGCGGCGGCACGTGGGTGGGCAGTTCGCCCTCGGGTCTGCCCGCCGCCCTCCCGCTGCAGCACAGCCTCCGGCCCTTTCCCGACCGCGTCCAGGGTCCCTGGCCCCGCTCCGCGCTCGGGCCGGGCACTCACAGGCAGACGGCGTCCGGGGCAGGGACCGGCGGTCTGGCTCCAGCTGGGACGCGGACCTCGCCTCGGTGGGCTCGGGGCCGTAGGAGCCGGAGCCGTGCCCGCTGCGGGGGGAGCTGAACTCTCCCAGAGGCCTCTGGGGCTGCGAGGGGAGACGGGCAGGGGAGGGTGGGGGGGGAGGGGCGGGGCGCGGCGCCCTAGTCCAGCCCCCACCCCCAGTCCCAGTAGTCGGCGTAGGGGTTCACCGGCCGGTGACCCAGCCACCAGGGGGGCGCGGAGGCCGCGCCGGGGCGGAAAGGCCAGCTGGGGGGCGCTGTGTAGAGTGGGACCCTGGGGGGGAGGAGGCTCCGGGCGGAGGGCCTCAGGCTCCAGGGCCCCACGTAGGGTGCTGGGGGCGGCGGGGGCACTAGTGGTGGCGCGAAGAGCGGCGGGGGCACTAGTGGTGGCGCGAAGAGCGGCGGGGGCACTAGTGGTGGCGCGAAGAGCGGTGGGGGCACTAGTGGTGGCGCGAAGAGCGGCGGGGGCGCCAAGGGCCTCACCATGTCCAGGCGGGTGGGCGTCAGGCGGCCCGAGGGGTAGGGCGGCCCCAGCACTGGGCCCAGCAGGCCTGGGGAGTGGGCACGCGACGGGTTGCGGCTGGCCTCCGACTGCTCCTTCCACAGCAGCACGCGGTTCTGGAGCGTCCCCCGGGCCTAGCGGGGTGAGAGCACACAGGGGTCACCCGGATCTGAGCAGCCTCCAGGATCCCGGGGACTCAGAATTAGGCCCCTAGACCTGGACTTGGACCCTGCAAGCTGAGGAAGGGACAGGTTTTCTAGCTGTTAGTAGCTAAAGATCATGGTGGTGGTGTCACTTTGGATTCACCCAGTGTCCAACCATCCCCACTTCTGTCAAAGACCCCTCAGTTCTTGAGGAGCTTCCCCTGCCCCCTCTCTGTGCACTTTGGGCAGAATTCTCCCACTGCCCGGTACAGGGGTAGGGATGGAACCCAGGCTGGCTACTCAGGCTGCACCATCCTCCTGGCTGCAGTGATGGACTCAGCCATGGCACTTAGCCCAAAACTGTGACCAAAGAATTCAGTCCCAGTATTCACCCTGGAACAATTTGGGAAAATCTATTCTTTTACCTCATGAGGTTTGCTAAATAGAGATGCCAACACAGGAAACTGCAACTAAGCAGCAGACAATGGCAAATTTCTGATGACATCTTGTGTGCTCCTGGATCCAGCTATACCTGAAACTCTTAAACTTCCCAGTAACTAAAGTAATAAGTACCTTTTCTGTTTAAGCCAGTTTGAGCAATTCTTTTTAATTTAATTAATTTATCTATTTATCCTCACCTGAGGATATTTTTTCTATTTATCTTCAGATACGGAGGGAGAGAGAGAAAGATTGATGTGTCTCACATCAACGTGAGAGAGACACATCCACTGGTTGCCTCAATGGTCCACGGACCAACACTCTAACTGCTCTAACTGCTGAGCCAAGCCTGCCAGGGCCAGTTGAGCAATTCCAAAGAGGCCTTTCAAATACAGTTTTCCCAATGCATCCCTGCAGGCTACATAAGCATCACTTTTCTAGTGTCCCCAGTACTTGGCAGCTAAATCTGCTTGAACACTTTCTGCTTGAACAAATCTGCTTGGCAGCTGACCAAACAGCTTGGGGTGGGAGGGCTTTAAATGTTAGACCTGTTGTGTATATTAATCATGTTTTGAGATTTCTGTATTTTATGATTCTTGGACATCCTGGGGTCTTGCTATTCCTGGAGAGGCTGCCCAGGGCTTAGATACTTCCTGGGGATTGCCCTTGAACACACCTTTTGTATGCAAACCAACCAATCCAAACCTATATCCCCAACCCACTTTCACTAACGCACACATCAAGCCAATATTTCGCTGGCCCTGAGTCACCCCAGAGCTAGGTACCAGACAAGTAGACACCAGCCCTATAGCACAGAGCCCACGGAAATTACTCCAACTAGCCAACTCCAAACTTGCTTAAACTTATCTATTCTGGTTTGCCTTCCATGGAAACCATAAATGTCCTGGCCATGATTTCCCCTCGCTCCTTCTGCCTCTTGACCAAGCTCAAGACTGTCACCCTCAAATAATGAAAGCTTCCCTTTGTTGAACATTCACTCTGTGCCAGGGCCTGGTGTTGAAGCTTTGTCCGCATTATCTTACTTGATTCTCACAATAGCCCTAGGAGGTATGTGCAGTTATATCTCCATTTTATAGAAAAAGATGCTGAGGGTCAGAGTAGTCAGCGACGGCTCAAGGTCTGGAATCCAGGAAGGTGTGAAGCCCGCTCCTGTCTGGCAGAAGGGCTTCTAGGACTGCCCCTCAGCGAGCGCTTGCTTCCCCCTGGCCCAGCTGCGGACAACCTCATAGTGACCTTGGGCAGCAAAGAGGGCTCAGAGCCTCATCACAGGAGCAACTAGTTCAGTTGGTCACGAGAGACACTCTCCCTGTTGCCTTGCATAAATAATTAGCAAAACACCACACAGCAAAGTTGTTTGTGAGCTTGTTTCAGAGGCAGTAAGCAAAGCAAGACCATGGGGTCCTGCATACCGTGTATGGACATGGTTAATCCTCACCCGGGGATATCTTCCCATTGATTTTTAGATAGAGTGGAAGGAGGGAGGGGGAGAGAGAGAGAGGGAAACATTGATGTGAGAGAGACACATCAAGTGGTTGCTTTCTGCATGACCCCAACAAGAGTTGGGATCAAACGATTCGTGACCTTGAGCGAGAATCGAACCTGAGACCCTTCAGTTCGTGGGCCGACGCTCTAACTGCTGAACCAAACCGGCCCAGGGCCTGCACACCATATTTTAAAAGTTTCTTTTTGTCGCCCTGGCTAGTGCAGAAGGCAACCAATTGATGTGTCTCTCTCACGTTGATGTTTCTCTCTCTCTCCTCCCTCCCCCACTCTATCCCTTCCTCTCTCTAAAATAACAACAACAACAATAATAATAAACATATCCTTGGGTGAGGATTTTAAAAAAACAGGAGGAAGGGCCATGCAAACCAACAGGTGGGGGGTCAGGGAGGATGATGGGGGTGAAACTTGCCGAAGGCCTCACCTTAGGGTGCCAGAGAGGGCAGGACAGTCCTTCTCAAGGTGTCAGCTTGTGAGGGGGACGGAATGGACCGAGTGGTGGTGGGGAGGTTAGCATCTCTCGGAAAAGGTAATAGGTAGATGTATGTGACTATGAAGGTCACAAAGTGAGGTCATCACGAGTAGAGATGAAACGAACAGAATTTCCAAGTTAATAAAGGGGAAGGGGAATGTATAGTAACTCAACCAAACTGACATAGACAGGAATAGGAGAAAAATGACAAAGTAAATACAGTTAAATCAAGTTGTCCCAAAATAATGCAACAGGTATATCAGTTGTTAGGTTAAATGAAATAGACCAAATCCCTCTGTCAGAAGACAGCGGTCAGACCGGTCAGACGTGAAAACTGATTTATGTGTTAGTAACGGAAAACACACTTTAAAAAAACAGCTAAGAGAAGAGAAAGTAGAAAGGGCAATATTAATTTCAGACAGGGTGGAAGTGAAAGCATTAGACTGGATTAGGAGAGACATTAAGTACCGAAATGGCAACATTGACACGGAAGGTATAACGCTCACAAACCCAACAGCACTAACCAACGTGGCAGCTAAACACAGACAGCAAAACCCATTAGAAAAACAATGAGAGCCTGGCCAGTTTGGCTCAGCGGTTAGAGCATCAGCCCAAGGATCAAAGAGTCCCGGGCTCGATTCTGGCCAAGGGCATGTACCTCAGTTTCGGTTCATCCCTGGTCGGGGTCGTGCGGGAGGCAAACGATCGATGTGTCTCTCTCACATCGATGCCTCTCTCTCGGTCTCTCTCCTTTCCCCACCTCTTCCACTCTATCTAGAGATAAATGGAAAAAATATCCTCGGGTAAGGATTTAAAAAAAGAAGAAGAAAAAGAAAAATGAGAAATGCAAGAATCTGATTGGCCTAGCAAATAGAAAAAGTAAGAGCATGGAGGATTTAAATTATAGAATAAAATTTACAGATGGTAACTGTATAAACCTGTGAATCAATGAATTTGTGAATAGTGAGTATATGCAAGCAGGAATGAAAAAGTAAATGGTTCACCCTGGCCAGTTTGGCTCAGTGGTTGAAGCGTCAGCCTGCGGACCAATAAGTCGCGGGTTCGATTCCAGTCAAGGGCATGTACCTTGGTTGTGGTTCATCCCCAGCCCTGGTTGGGGTCGTGCAGGAAGCAATCGGTCTGTGTGTCTCTCTCACATCAATGTTTCTCTCTCTCTCCCTCCCTCCCACTTTATCTGAACAACTACAACAAAAAAAATAAATGGTTCATACACAAAAGACTAAATGCGTGAATTAGTGAATGAATGCGAGAATAAACAGAACCGTGAATGAATATCTGATGACACAAATAAACACGGAAATGAATAAACAGAGAAATAGGAGAGAATAAATACATAAAATATCACCGAGGAAGAAAGAAGGAAAGGAGGAAGGGAGGGAAATACCTGCATGCAGCCAGCTCACAGAGAGCACTTCCCCTAGGGCTCCATTCGCTGTCCCCCAGCCCCTGCTCACCCGACCGAAAAACTGCAGGAAGGTATTGGAAAGCAGCAGGTGCTTCTCGGCCAGGAACCGATAGCGCCGCTTCTCCTCCAGCTCAGCTGCCCGCTGGCTCTCAGACACGAAGGCCTGCATCTGCGCGTGCAGCCGGTTCACGCTCTCCTGGGGGGAAAGGGGATACTGGCTGGAGGCAGGGGGTGGGTGCTTCATCCCACCCACCTAGGGCACCAGCTGTCTGCAGCCTCCCAGGCCTTCCTCACCCAGCCGCCTCCTCCTGGAGGCCCCCCAGGAACACCCAGACCATCCCAGCTCCCAGGCCTGCCCTCTCATGGGCAGCTTCCTGCTCACGAGCCTAGGCTCGATGTCCTCCCAGGCAGGGCTGGTGTCTGAGTCATCCCTCTGTCCCCAGCACCCAGCTCAGGGCCCAGCACAGAGGTGGGGCCCAGGGAGGTTGGTTTAATGAAAGTGCAAATAAGTTGACTAATAACCCTCTTCTTGGGAGGGGAGATCCTGAAAAGAGATATGAGCTTAGAGGAGTCAGAAGAAGAGACAGGCAGGAAGAGAGAAATCGTGGAGGAGAGGCCAGGGATGGGCAGGAGGGGCTCAGGAGGAGGGCTGGCCTTGGTCGGGGCAGGACCGCACTGCATGGGCAGGAGGGAGGATGGCGGGCCTGCTGGGGGTTACACCTTCCCTACCGTGCTCAGGAGCACAAGACTGAAGGTCTCAGGTTTGCTCAGTGACGTGGGAGAAGAAAGAGAGGTGGTATGGTTTTGGAGGGGCCTGGAGCACCTGGGGAGGGCCAGGAAGTGGCAGGGCCAGGAGCAGTGCCTAGGGTGTCCCTGAGACCAGAATTCCCACCCCACCAGGGCTGGCTGACCTCACCACAGAGGCTGGGACAAGCCACACTCCTGGAGTTGGCCTGGTGTTGGCTGGGGAGCTCAGGAGGGTGTCAGAGTTCCCCCCAGAGACCGGTCATGTGCCCAGCTCTTGCACCTTCATCTCCCGCACATTCTTGTCCCTCTTGCGCTCCATGCGCCACAGCTCGGACATGCACTTCTCCAGGTTGGCGGCTCGGTGGCGGTACTCAATCTCGTAATGCTGGCGGCTGTCCTTGGGTGGGGCCGAGAGAGGACGGAAACCCCCACATCAAAAGCTCTAGATGCCTGACCCATGGGTCAGAGCGTAGACAGGGGCAGGGCGGCTCAGCTGGGGACGTGTATAACCTGGGACCAGGCAATGGCCAGGGCCCTCAATGGGCCCGTCTGTCAAATGGGAACAGGTGGTCCTGTCTGTGTTGCGCAGGGGACCGAGGTGGGGCCGGCAGACTCACTTTGATGAACTGCATGTCCAGCTTGGTGTTCTTCTCCATGTGCTGCAGCAGGTCTCCGTGGAATGTCTGCACCTGTGTGGAGTGCAGGACGGGGTTGATCAAGGCGGCCCTATCCATCTCAGGCCCCAGCATCCCTTGCGCTGCCCACACAGATCCATTGCCCACCATGCGCTAACACACCAAGCACCTGCCCAATCATCAGAGAAATGGGCATGATAAGAGAGCCTGATTGGAGAAAGGATTAAACGGTTAACCATGAGAAACATTTAGAGCAGTACCTCACTCGAGACACCCTCAATAAATGTGCCAGCGACCTCTGGTTCTCACTCTGAGTCCCAGTCTGGGCTTTGATGATGCTATTCCCCGAGGCTGGAGTTTCCCACCAGTCTTCAGATCCTGCCCCTTCTGACTCTCCTGGGCAGAGCCTTGCTCAGACCTTTTGTTTCTGGAAGGTGTGTGTGTCCATTTGCTCACTGTTCATCCCTCTAGCCACGGGACAGAACCTCTTGTTGGGACCCTGCTCAGCCCTTTCGTATGAGCAGTGAGTGGTGTGGGCACGAACCAAGTCCGACCCATTTCTGTGTCCTTGGCTCCGTGAGCAGGGCTGGGCCCAGGGCTGGGTCAGCACTGTGGAGGCTGAGCTGTGGGCGTGGTAGTTCCCACAACAGGTGAGGAGGCGGCTGACCACCTGGGTGACCAGGGGAAGGCGGCTGAGCTCAGTCGCAGAGGAGCTAGGTGCTAGTTCTGGTTGTGTCTCCAATTTGCTTTGTGACTTTGGACACGTTGCTGCCCCTCTTAAGCCTCAGTTTCCCCCTCTGTTATAGTAAAGGTTTGGCCAGATGCTCTCTAAGGCCCAGTTCTATAAACCCGATGAGCGTTGATTCTGTGGGCCTCAGCGGTCACCGGCACATTCCCTTGTGTCCCCATCAGTGTTCCCTGGGGCACACTGCATCACTGGGGCGTTGGACCTTAAATCCTTCCAGCTGCCCTCTTTGCCCTTGAGTTCAGGTCGCACAGAGAGCAAAGAGGAGCATCTCTCAGCCCACCGTCACCTCTGGGGACCTCCTCCTCTGCGTGGACCCCACCTGCTGCCATGGGGGTGCTCATACTGTGCATGGAGCTCTGTTCCTCGGGGTAGAGCATTGCCTAGAAAAGGAATGCTGGTAATTTCCTCCCAGGACACAGGAAACACTAGTAAATGTAAAAGTTCTGTACGTTTTTCTCGCACAGTTGTGTACAAAGCCTCGGTCACTGCTGGTCCGTAAGGGAGCTGGAGTGCGTTCTCCCAGGACTGGCCACGCCCTACACCCCGGAGCTGTGGTTGCCTGTGTGTGCGCGCATGTGTGTGTGGGGGGGGAGGGGGGGCTGTGTGTGTTAGGAGCTGTTCTGAGTACACATTTCTGCCCTATGGGGGCCCTTGTTGCCAGATCCACTAGGAAGTGAGGCTTCCCAGCAAGGAGGCACCTTCCCTGCCCCTGGCCCTTCCTCCCACCAAGGAGATAGTTCAAGATTTCTGCTTGAGCACAGATGGGTGCTTTGAAAACCTCCACAGCCTGCTAAACCACAAGGTTGAAACCACAAGGTTGCCCGGCTGGTGTGGCTCAGTGGTTGAGCATCAACCCATGCACCAAGAGGTCCCCGGTTCGATTCCCGGCCAGGGCACATGCCCAGGTTGTGGGCCCGATCCCCAGTGGGGGCATGCAGGAGACGACCAATCGATGTTCTCTCTCATTGATGTTTCTCTCTCCCTCTCCCTCTCCCTTCCCCCTTCCTCTCTCTGTAAAAATCAATAAAGCAAAATTTAAAAAGAAAGAAAGAAAGAGAGAAAGAAAGAAAGAAAGAAAGAAAGAAAGAAAGAAAGAAAGAAAGAAAGAAAGAAAGAAAGAAAGAAAGAAAGAAACAACAAGGTCATGGGAGATGCGGGGCTAGTGCAGACCTTCGAACCCAGGCATATCTGTAGCCAGAGCACTAGGAAAGAGGGTGACTGGTACCTAGAGAGATGGACTCGAACCACAAGGAAGGCCTGAGAAAACATTCACAATGCGCAGCATCGGCTGCTGCAGTCGGTCTGCGGAGGTGATGCGGGAGGAAGCGGGGCTGTCATGAGGCTGCACCTGGCAGGCAGTGGTGACACCTGCCCCCGGCCGGGACCAAGGAGGCAGGGGTGCGGGAGACCTTTTCAAATGTCCTTAAAATACTGACAGCAGACAAGTTTGGGGCTTTCTCCCTCCCTCTTAAGTCTGCTTTCCTACCTCTCTCCACTTGCCGGAAACACTGCTACTGAAAAGGCCACCTGCCATCCTATGATGTCACTCCTGCTTCCAGTCACATGTGGACTGAGTCCCCCCGTGGAAACGTGCATTAGAGCTGGACAGAGGGATTCGAATGCCCCCCAGTGCCATGGCCTGGCTGTGATCTCAGGCAGGAAAGAGGACACAGGCCTAGGACTGCCCCAATCAGAGGGGGTCCAGGCACCACTGGGTTAATGGAAAGCCCTCGGCAAGCTCCTAAAGAAGTGGATCTATTAAGAGGATGATACTTGACGTGGACTTTGAGCTCTTGCTGTGGAGGAAGCAGACAGCTGCAATAATTAGCAGGTGTTTTTCGGGATAAGGAAGTCACCAACTCCCTGTCTCCCTCTCTGGGAAAACCCCTTGAAAGAGCTAGCTCTGTGGGCTGAACCCAACTCCTCTCCTCTCATTTGTTCGTTTTTTTATAATTAAAAAATACATATTTTTATTGATTTTCTAGAGAGAGGAAGGGAAAGACAGATAGAAACGTCAATCAGCTGCCTCTTGCACGCCCCCTACTGGGGATAGAGCCTACAACCTGGGCGTGTGCCCTGACCGGGAATTGAACCAGGACCTCTCAGTCCATGGGACGACGCTCAACCCACTGAGCCACACCAGCCAGGCTCATCTGTTCTTGAATCCCCACCACGCCAACAAAATGCTTTTGTCGAAGTCACAGAGACACTCTCCCCGCTGCTTCTCAGTCCTTTGCTGATCCCCCCTCATCTCCCTGATCCTTTAACGCTGGGTTGACCCAGCGCTCAGGCCTTGAGCCTCTTCCCTTCCCTAGCTACACCCATTCCCTCAGTGAGCTCCTGCAGGCCATAAGCTCACGACTCCCAGATGCATATCCCAGCCCAGACCTTGCCCCCAAACTCCAGTCTCATACATGCAACTCATGGTTCCACCTCTCCAACTGATTTTCTGATAATCATCTCATACTTATCATGTCTAAAACTGAGCCCCTGACCACTCCCCTCCATCCCAACTGCTCCACCTCCAGTTTTTCCTACCTCAGCTAACGGCCTTTCCAGTTGGTCAGGTTAAAACCTTGCAGTTACCTAGACTTTCTCCCTTTCTTTTGCAACAGACTTCCAATCCATCAGAACATCTTATTGGTTCTACATTCATTCTGATCTCTTCTCAACACTACCACTGCTGCCATATCCCAAGCCTTATCATCCTTCCCCTAGATGACGGCAGGAGCCTCCTGACTGGTCTTCCTGCTTCTGCTCTTGTCCTCCACTGCTATGTTATTCTTAGTATAGGAGCCAGAGTGATCCTATTAAAATGTAAGTCAAATAATGAACAAGTGGAAAATGATATTTAAAAATGCCATTTACAAATGGCTACATAAAAACATTAAATACCTGGAAATAAATCTATCAAGCGATGTGCAAGATTGCTACTCTGAAAATGGCAAAACATTGTTATGAGAAATAAATAGAAAGGCATACCATGTTCATGGACCAAAAGACCCGATACTGTTAAGATGACCATTGTTTATAGATTAATTCAATCCCTATCAAAATCCCAGCAAGTTTTCTTAGAGAAATTGACAAGCTGATTCTCTAATTCCTTGGAAATGCAAAGCATCTTGAATGAACTAGATAATTTTGAAAAAAGAAGAACAAAATTCTTAGAGTACTTGATTTCAAGACTTACTATAAAGCTACAGGAATGAATATAGTTTAGTACTGGTATAAGGATAGACAAAGATATAAAAAATTCAGGAATTGACTTACACATATATGATAAATCAATTTTTGACCAAGACACCAAGTCAATTAAATAGGGAAAGAGAAGTCTTTTTCAAATGGTTCTGTCCAGGGCAAAATGGACCCTGATGCCCTCTCACTTCATATGCAAAAATAAATTTGAGATGGATCATAGAAATATGTGCAAAGCCCAGAACACAGAACTTCTACAAGAAAAGTTAGGAGAATATGTTTGCAATTGGGGTAGGTGAAGATTTCTTGGGTAGGACACAAACACAAACCATTTTTTAAAATGGCCAAATTAGGCTTCATGAAAAATATTACATTTCTGGTTATCAAAGACACTATTAAGAAAATGAATAACCAAGCTATAGATTAAGAAAAAACATTCACTATACATATATCTGACAAAGGGCTCATGTCTTGACTATAGAAAAAACTACAAGTCAACAATAACGGCAACCGATTAAAAAAATGGTCAAAAGACTAACAAACACCTCATGAAAGATGTTATGCAAATGACCAATAAGCCCATTAAAAGTCATTAGTCATCAGGATATGCAAAATATAATCACAGTGAGGTGTTCCATTCCACATGAGAACAGCTAGAATAAAAAGCTGGATAGCAGGGACGGAGTTCACAGCAGCGTTCAGACACTGCTGATGGGAGCGCAGAACAGGACAAGAACTTCGGAGAAATCTTCGACAGCTTCTTATAAAGCTACACATAGATCAATCATTTGACCCATCATTTCCACTCTTAGGTATTTACAAGAGGAATGAAAATATAGATCCACAAAAAGACCTGTCCAAGAATGTTCGCAGCAGCCCTATTTCTGATAGCCCCAAACAGGAAGCAACCCAAATGGCCATCAACAGAAAAATGGATCAACAAGTTGTGGTATATCCATACAGTGGAACACGCAGCTATCAATCAAAACAAAGCATCGATACTGGCAGCAACCTGAGTCAAACTTACAGACGTATGTTGACTGAATGAAGCAGGACACAAAGAAATGCATATTGTGCAATTTCATTCATAGGAAGGGCGGGCAGGCAAAGC